AAAAAAAAAAAAAAAAAAAAAAAAATCAAAGCAGCTGGCCGAGCAGGACTGAGCATGCGCGCCAGGGCCGGCGGAGGCAGGGAAGGAAATCGAGCGCCGCGCCCCTACCCGGCGCCAGGCCTGGGGTTGCTAGCGGTGATCTTCCACGTTGATCGGCGCCTCTTTAAATCCGCTGCCACCGTCGAGATGCTCCTAAATGATTTGTCCATAGCATCTTCATTACTGACCGTGACAAAGCAGGCCAGAACTCTGCTTGTTCTTCAGCAGCATGATAATGATAAAAACCAGTATAATAATAATGATAGAAGCAAACTCTCCTAGCGCTTAGTATTTACCAGGTGCCTTTACTTTTATAAATGGAAACTTTCTAGAAAACTCAGTGAAGAAAATAGTGTTTTAACCGTTTTTAAAGATTATTTTTATTTTTTCCAAAGGAGAAACTGAGGCACAGAGGTTAAGTGGTATGTCCAAGATCACACAGCTGGGAGGCGTTAGAGCTACGATTTGAATCCAGTGCCTGTGCTCTTGACCATTGTATTCTAGTACCGCTTATTGTAAATCGGTCACACCTGGAACTATTTTGCTAGCGCAGCAACAGAGCGTACTCAAAAATAGTTCCCTGATTGGCAATAATAATTGTGGCAAAAATATTGTCTAGTCAGTAATCAGATTTATTGCATTTTAAAAGATGGGGAGTTGGTTGGAAGGGGAAAACTATCAGTTCACTGAAAGGTCTTTTGGCTGCAAAGCCCACAACTGAATTTCCTCTCTCTAGCAGATAAGAAACTCATGTATCATTATTATGGTTTTTGCATATAATTTTGCTAAAATTCACATATCAAAAAACAGCTTCTTTTGTAAATGTTAATATCTTCATCAGTTCAAAGTTCATATCAGCCTTCAAATTTGTCTTTGCAGGCAGAGCAATTTTCTTGTTTCTTCTGTGTTGCATGAGATCATTGTCATTACTGATACAGTTAAGGTTTGAAGCTTGGAATATACATTTCAGAAGAATAAGTGCTTCATGATTTAAAGAATAAAACCCACTTTAAATTTAGAATGCCTAGTTGCCTTTTATCATTGTTTCTCTGTGTGATGTGCACTGACAAAAGATGCAGTCCAACCTGTGTAATGACTTAAGATATTGAACAAAGTACTCTGATCAATAGACAGTGTGCCTGCATTTCCTGGAAGAGCCAAACAATTGTACATATACAGAATTAGTTTGGAAAGTGCTCTCGGGTTAAGGAGTGTGCCTACATATTTTTCTACAGTAAGAATTCTCTATTTCTTGACGGATTCCTCATTGGATAGTCTACTTTTTTTTTAACAGATCAGCTGCACAGTATTTGGTTTTCCGAGCTGTTACTCAGTTCTTGGCTCTGACAACTCAATTTTGAGTGCTTTTTGAGGTTAACTGAATCAGTGAGGAATTATAAATAGAGGTGTCAAAATGAGGGCATCAAGAAATGAGAAAAAAAAAATCAAGCTTGAAGGCAATTGCCAGGGAGGAAATAGTCAAGGAGAAGAGCAGTGGGAATTGTTGAGTTTATTCAAGAAAGTGCAAATTTATATACTTTTTTCAAAATAATCATAATTTCAAATATAGAATTCAGTTTTCTTATAGGCATAGACAATATGACTGTAATCATTTTGTGACATACTAACTAAATATAAAAATAGTTGTGCAATTCCTGAGCTGAGATTTCTGTTTATATTTCTGTTTGACAGTTTTGACAGGCCTTCCAACTCTACCTATGCAAATACGATAGATTTTGCCTCAAAAAAGGAACATATCAAAGTGAACAGAACAAATATTTATGCATAGTCGTGAAATGGTATTTTCTTACCAAAAGGAAAAAGGGCCATTTCCAGCTAGCTTAAAATTATCTCTTAAAGGAAAAAGAACATCCCCCCCACACACACTTATTTTTTGAGTAGAGAAACTTCTTCAGCTATCAAATTATATTCTGTAGTCTAAATTATTAATTTAAATTTTATATTAAATACAGTGTATTTGAATTTTAGTTTCATATTTACTATTAACATCATCAATATAAAAATGTCAAATTTCTAAAATTATTGGAATCTGTAAGAATATTGTAGTAATATTATATAAAATGCCGTTTGCTTTCAGTAGTTTTATTGGCACTATGTGACAAAGAATAAAAAGTATATAACAATATCTTAAAATTTTGGATACCACTATGATTATTATATCATTTAATGTATGGGCGTGTATTCCTATTTTATGCCCTGTGCCTGTGGTATTAAATTCAAATGGAGATTTCTGCTTCTGTCATTGAGTAACTATAATTGAACTTCCAATCCTATTGTAAATAACTGAAAAACTAGACAAGTTATATGAAATAACTTGTTTTTCAGATATTGGAGAATAAAAAAGAAGGGAGAGAAATGAGGAGAGCCCCCCAACTTGCCCCGGATTTCTGCCTGGATGCATTTTCCAGTCCACTGTGCAGAGATGGAAGGAGGGTAGGGCAGCCAAGAAGAGCCTCCTGGAGATCTTGCTGAATTGAGGAGAGACAGGAGAAGGTGAGGTGACTAAAGTTTTCTGGGCAGAGAAATTTTGTGGAGAAAGTTAAGTGATTAGAGTGCTTTGGAAATTTGCATAAACATTCCCTAGAGGCTGCCTCTAATGTTAAATTTTGTATGCATAAGGTTAGAATACATGAGGCCAAGCAAAGAACAGTAGGAGAAATGTAAATTCAAAATTTTCAAGAATTCAAACAGGACTAGGAGACTTTGAAGTTTGGAAAAGTCAGAAGGTAGAATCCCCTTGGAACACTTGTGAGACTCTACACTCAGTTAAGGGCCAAGAAAAGTCACAGTCAATAGGAAGGCTACACTTGCCCTAGGGAAAAAGCTAATTAATGCGTGCCTATAGTTTTCAAGAAGCCTGCAAAGGATAAGGTGCTCCGCAAGGAACTGTCTGCCAGAAAAATCCACACCTTGACAATGTGAAATTCACATTGTTTAGCATCTATATAAAATTTATGAAACAAAAGCTAGGTTCACCTGGGTCTATCATAATGTCTACATGTGACCTCTCCATGTGGTGTTGGCATTGTCACAGAGCAGTGGCCATAGGCTCTAAGATTGAGCTTTGTAGTGAAAAAAAAGTCGAAGTTTTGTGGCATTTTATGACCCAGAATTGGAAGTTATGTCATATAATTTTCATTGTCAAAGCAGGCACAAGCCTTTTAATTTCAAGGTGGAGCTGGTTGGGGGCAGGATGGGGAACACAGACATCACCACTTAATAAGAAATGTACCAGAATATTTGTGGCTAGTTTTTAAATAGCCACATCTTTACTTTTAACAGCTCTTCTTTCCTCTCACATAAAATATGCACTGTTTCCTTTCAATGCAAACAAACGTCTCATGCCAATATAGAAACAGGGTCAAGTTTATTATCTAGGAATTTGAAAGCTAAATTAGATCCAGGCATAGAAGGGCTCCTTACTTAGGTCCTTTCCTTTGTTACACTTACTCTTCATTTGAATACTTGTAAAGGAAAGAAACAAGGTATCTGGCTCTCACACACCTAAGGCATAGGAAACATGCAATAGACACTTACATACAAGAAGTAGGTAAATTGGATGCACACAGCAGTCAATGGTCAAAATGAAACAGGAGGAAGAGGGCAGGGCACAACCTTTGAAAGAATTACATAGCCACAGGACATGACAAAACCTGGTTGGAACCAACTATGTCCAAGATGGCAGAAGATTTGACTTCCAGTGGACCTTGAGCCTCATCATACTCTCATTGTAATACATTAGCATGGTAAGTGACACCACCAGTGCCATGATAGTTCTGAGGCTAACCATAAAAGGCCAAAAAGTGGGCAGTGGCTCAATTCCTGGAAATCCCCACCCCTTCCCTGAAATAATTGGAATAATCCTCCCACTCATTAGCCTATGAAATTAATCAGCCCATAAAAACTAACCATGCCATATTTCGGGGCTCTCTCGCCTTTTGAGATGGCCCCACACTCTGTCTCTGGAGTGTATTTCTCTCTAAATAAATCCACCTATCACTTCGTCTCACACTGAATTCTTTCTGCAATGAGATATCAAGAACCTCAAATTCACTGGGAAGAAATATAATTATGAGGTCTATCTGGGCAAAGTCCCTAGATCTTTGCTTTAAACCCAGTCTCTCTTCCTCTGACATGGTGGAAGATTTTTCTTTTTCTTTCTTTTTTCTTTTTTTTGCTCTATAAAACATGGACTAAATATTACAAGTTATTTGTATTTATTGGTTTGTATATTTTAAAAGATACAAAAACCCCCCCTAGAAACCAAGTAATATTAATGTGTTAATGTTAATTTTCATCTTTGTGGTATAATATTAATTATAATCTATCAATTATACTCTTGGCACTTCAAGGAATTAACATTCCATCAATGAGTTTATGGTGGAACCAAGAGAGGAATGGAAAGATTAGCATCTGAGTATCCTTTACAGAGGACTGCCACATACTGAGCAAAGTATCTTTTAAAATGCTATATTGATTTTGTTATGAGAAACAATTGGTTAAAAAAAATCAATAGAAAGCCCCCTTATAATTTAGGTACTATATATTAATACAAATAATTAGTTATTTCCATTATCTACACAATGTAACCTTCTGCATCTGGATTTTATAACTCGGAGGTCCCCAACCTCTGGGCCACGGACTGGTACTGGTCCGTGGCCTGTTAGGAACCAGGCCACACAGCAGGAGGTGAGCGGCGGGTGAGTGAGTGAAGTTT